GAGAGGGGGATTTAATTTAGTGTCGCTCTAATCAGTGTACTATTTATATTATATGTACATTATGTTAGGGAACAATCAATCTTGATTAATCATCAAAATCATATGAGGACAAATACCATATGAAATTATTTATATGTGGAACCTAATGAACAAAATAAACTAACAAAAGAAAGTCACATGAGGGTCTTATTAAAATGCCTATTTCACCCTGACCTGTGTAGCTGACCTGAATTGGTTGGGTGTCATCCCACAAACCAAAAGGTCGTTGGTTCCATTCACAGTCAGGGAACATACTTAGGTTGTAGGTTTGGTCCCTGATTGAGGCACACGTGAGAGACAAGGGATTGATGTTTCTCTCTCACATCGGTGTTTTTCTCCTTGTCTTTTTTCCTCCCTTCTCCTCTAAAAATGAATAAATAAAAATAAAAAATTAATTTTTTAATCAAGATTTTATTTATTTATCTTTTAGATGGAAAGGAAAGGAGAGAGGGAGAGAAACATCAATGTATGGTTGCTTTTTGTGCGTCCCCTGCTGGGAATTGGCCTGCAGGGAACTGGCCTGCAACCCAGGAATGTGCCCTGACTGGGAATCGAACCGCAATTGTCTGGTTTGCAGGCCCGTGCTCAATCCACTGAGCTACACCAGCCAGGGCTAAAAATTAATTTTTTAATATTTTAAAATAAAAATATAAAAATTATTTAAAACAGCCAGTGCTATTTTAAATAATTTTTCAAAAACATTTTATTTTGGCTCTGGCTGGCATAGCTCAGTGGATTGAGCGCGGGCCTGCGAACCATGCAATCGCAGTTTGATTCCCAGTCAGGGCACATGCCTGGGTTGCAGGCCAGTTCCCAGCAGGGGACGCATGAGAGGCAACCACACGTTGACGTTTCTCTCCCTGTCTTTCTCCTTCCCTTCCCCTCTCTCTGAAAATAAATAAATAAAATATTTTTAAAAGATTTTATTTTTATTTATTATTAAATAGAGAGGGGAAGGGAGGGAGAAAGACAGGGAGAGAAACATCAGTTACCTCTAGCATGTCCCCAACTGGGGATCTGGCCCACAACCCAGGCATGTACCTTAAATGAAAATCAAACCAGCAAACTTTTTATTTGTAGGCTGGTGCTCAATCCACTGAGCCACAATAGCCAGGGCTAAATAAACTTTTTAAAAATACCTACTTCCAGGTGTTTTGGAAATTCTGACCTTCTTAGAGTGTAGCCCAGACAACCTCTATTTTTAACAAGTGTCCTAGGTAATTCTGATGATGAACCAAGGTTGGGAAGCCTGATCTTACTATATCCTTTACCCCACAGCAATCTGGCACACTTTCCCAATAAGAAAGCCGAGGCTCAGAGAATTAACTTGCCCCAAACCACTGTCAGCCTTTCTTCCTCCAAAGCCTATGATACGTTCAATCTGACAGCAGGCATTGCATTTGCCTGCAGAATAGAGAGCCTTCCTCCATTCAGGGCTAGAAATTCTGATAAGAAGGACCTTGGCAAACACTCCGCCTTCCTTTTCCCTATTTTCACTGAAGGTGGTGAGAATATCTATTGTATTTATTTTTTAAGCCTGTTGTAACAAAGTGCCACACATTGGGTGACTTAAAACAGCAGACGTTTATTCTCTCGTAGTCTGGAAGCTGGAAGTCCAAGATCAAGATATCAATAGTATGATACTGTCTCCGAATGCTCTACAGAAGAGTCTGTTCCATGCCTTTTTCTTGGCTTCTGTTGTTTGCTGGTGATCTTTGGCCTTCCTTGGTTTGTGGCTGCATAACTTCAATCTGTCTCCATCTTCACACACTGTTTTTCCCTCTGCATCTGTCTCTGTCTCTCCTCCTCTTCTTCTAAGGATATATCGGATTAAGAAGCCATCCTACTTCAGGATGATCTCATCTTATACAGGAATTACATCTCTAAAGACCCTATTCCCAAATAAGGTAACATTTACAGGTAACAGGGCTCTAACATATCTTTGGGGGGACATAATTCAATCCACAATATCTGTAATAGTCAGGAGGTGTCAGAAGTCCCACCAAAATCCTCAAGTTGGGTATACAAACCCAACCACCATGGTTATCTTTTTAAAGAGCAGGGAGAACTCAAGGATCCAGATGGGAGGAGAAGCTGTGGTGAGGATAGGGGAAGCTTTGGCCACTGTTCAAATAGGGGCTGGACAGTTAAGGACTTTGATATGGCATCGGAACAGTTCAGAAATCTGGCTCAGCCAGTGTATTCATTCAATCACCAGCTCTCTGGTGGGCTTTCTGTATGCTGGAAGTGGGGTAGGGAGTAAGGCAGGTAGGATTTATTCGATCATGGGCTCTGGTTCAGTGAGGTGACTGACAACCAGAGAATAACACTGGTTGATGGCTAACACTAATGAGGACTAAGGTTAATGCTACGAGGAGAAATCCTCTTCTGTCCTGGCTGTAATGGCAGCAAAATACTACCAAGTCTGTCCCCATCTCTGGTCCTCCTACCGCTGTCTCATTTCTTTCTCATCTGGAAACTAGTCAGTCCCCTTCCAACCTACCTCCAACACCTGTGTAGGAGGGATCCTTCTCAAACACCAAACAGAGCAGGGCACTCCCTGGCTTACGCCAGCTCTGCACTTCTTTGTGGCTTCCCTCTGGTTTGACTCCCACATGGTATTCCAGTCCCACCTGCCTCTTACCATGTGTCCTTCAGATGCTTATAACTTCAGCCATGAGGCTGCCTAAACACGAGACACAGCACCACTTCTCTGTGCTCTGCCTGGAACTCCCTGCCCATTTCTGGTCCTTGGGGAACCGGCTTCATCAGCACCTCCAGGTGAGTGAAGTGTCCCTTCTCAGAGCTCCTGCTTCCTCCCACTACCATGGCATTGTGTTGTAACTTTCTTTTTTTTTTCTCTCCACTAGATTGGGACCTCCTTGAGGCAGAAACAATGTCTGATTATTCCGTGATTCTTACTCCCTAGTCCTACCTCATGCCTAGATTGGGACCTGGCACAATAACAATGAAGTCTCTCAGGGCTCAGCTGAAGGTCCACTGCCCATCTGACCATAGGCTCTGCCCGTGGATTATATGAGTATACATTTATGATTACAAATGGCTTCTGCTTGTATGACCTGACAGTTTTGTGGGTGTGAGACTTCACTGCCAGCCCGAGCCTACAAGTGCCCCAAGGCAGGGCCCAGGAAGCTCCTGGAAAGGAGCCACTCTTGGAAGATGGGGTCACAGGGGACTGCCCACTCCCTCGCATTCTGCCATTTGTTGGCTCCCAAAGTGAGCTGTCTTTGAGGTGGTCTGCTGGGAACTTCGCCATTCCCCCTTATTCCAGCTCTTCTCAGGGTCCCACCTCAGTTTTGGAGGAGGTGTACATGGATATCCACCATCTTCCTTTGGAGCCTACTCCTGGTTCAGTAGAACCAGAGGACCAATAAAGCTCGAATGGGGTGCCTGTGAGTGCTAGGTTCCACTGACACCTATGAGCACCTACCAAAAGTCTGCACACTGAACTTTCTGGAGTAGAGTAAGGGCGAAGAAAAGAAAGCCAGTTCCCTAACCTGCTTTCCAGCATGGGAGGCAGAAACAGCCACCATGGGGCAAGTTAACAGTCTGAAGGTGGGTTCACAACATGCCCCTCTCCTCTCCACACCCTAGGAGGGTTTTCAAGCTGGAAGGGGACTTAGCTGAGTCAAGCCATCAAAAGAGAAAGACCCTGCAGCACCCCTCCCTCATAAGCCTCTGCTTGCATATTCCTCATGACTGGTAATCAGGGCTTCAGGCACTAGTGGTCTTGGAGAGTTGGCTCTTTTCCAGAACCAAGACCAGTCTCTCTTAAGCTTCCACCTTTTCCAAGTTTTAATTTATTTTAGATGCACAAGCCCAGGGCCAGTCCAAGGCTCCTTGGTTGTTAGGATAATTTTCATTCTTTCTACCCTTTGTGGACTACCCCTGAGAGTGTGAGCAATCACACCCAATCCTCTTGGCCCTCCCCAGGGACCCGCCAAGAACAATAAATTGAGGAAGGCAACCAGTGCTAGAGTCTAAATAGCAGGGCTCACTGACCCAAAGCTCAAGCAGAGATATGGGAGTAGGGGGAACATGTGTCAGCTGCAGAAACCTACACTGTCCCCAGCAGGACTTACTTCAGGGTTCTGCCAGCAAAGTGACTCACATTCCTCCACATCTCCTCCTTTCCAGGGTGCTGTTGAGTTGCATGGGGAAAGGTGTGCTTCTAAGATCCTGGGGTTGTGTGCCCCCCACCCCCTTGCTAGAATTCTTCCAGCACACAGCACTTCCACCTCCCCTATTTGACTTGGAGTTGGACAGAGAGGCTTATGAGGCTGATATATCTCAGCAGTCATGAAGGACTGGAGGCAGCAGCTTATCTGGGTGCCTGCAGTGATTCACAGACCAAGACCCAGCTTCTCTGCTGAATAGTAATTTCCAGCAGTGGATTTGTGCTCAATCTGTCTCCTCCCCCTCTCCCAAGGGTGTGCTGTCCTTTCTCAAAGATAGCAGTGAAGGGGGAGATCCTACCCATGGGAGTGAGGGAGTTTGTGCCAGCCTTCTGGATAAGGCTCAGCCTATTGGCAGGAGGCTGCAGGCTTTAGGGACCTCAGCAAGGTCTAGCACTCTCTCTTGTCAGTGACACCCCCAGGGGGGTGCGAATGCTCTTTCCTTCCCCTCCCAGAAATGCAATGTGCTGTCCCCTTTCCCTTAGTGGTAATACACAGGGGGAGCCAGTCTTCCTTTCAGCCACAGACCCCTGAGCCCAAAGGCAGTGGGGAGGGGGAGGGAGGGAGCAGGCGGCTGGAGAAAGAGGGAGAAGCCAGGGATCGGGCAGTGCCCTCTTGCAGCATTCTGAATCTGTCCAGTCTCTGTGCCTGACCCTGAAGACTCCAAAGGTTAAGGATCCCAGGCTGGAGGGGGCTGAGACACAAGTGGGCAGCTCAGAGTTACCTTTGCAAAGGCAAGCAGTTATTGGATATTTTAGGACAGAGCCATTTTCATGTTTGTTTTATTGGAAGCAACATTTCAGCTACTGGGCTCAAGGGAGGGGGCACAGAGAGTTTTTGCACTGGGTCTCTCCCTCTGGGTCAACTTGGGGAACGGGTTGACATTAAAGGAGCTAGAGCCTGTGGCCACACCTCTGCCACCGTGATCTCAGGATGCTCCTTAAAAGCAAGAGAAGGGAAACTATAAAGGTAAACTGTCCTGGGGTGAGGGGCAGAATGGAGCTCCCTGCTACTCAGACTCTCCTACCCCCAAGCAGTCCGTTTCTCACCCCTTGTCCTCTGCTGCCAGTGGATGGGGGTGATCCCACAAGCTCTCCTTGGCTTCCACACTCCTGCTCCCCAGCCCCTTGAATGCTAGGTGCCCTTAACCCTTGCGGGTTCTGAGCAAGGCTCAAGAGTCCCACTGCCCACCATACCCTCCCTGAAGAAGGTTCCAGTAACGGTCAGCAAAGCTGAAGGTGGAATTCTGAGTCTTCGGGCAACACAAGTGGAGAAGCAACTGGTCCACGACGCTTCACTGGGGTCCTCCTCTTTTGGCTGTGGGGTCCATGATGGCAGTCTGAGGAGCTGAGACCAGGCTGTGCGCTCCAGCAGACTGAGCATGAGAGGCAGGAAATGCATCTCAAGGTCAAGGCGCTGGGGCTAAAAGCCAGGACCAGGTGGCCCAGAACAGGGAGTTCTCAGGCTATCGGGTCCTCTTCCGCAGCACGTGGCTCAGGTTGGGACTCTTTCATGGAGCCTTCTGCTGTGGTAGGATCCCCTAGGCTCCCCTTGGACGTCGCCGCCATTGGCAGGTACGAGGGGTCAGAACTAGGGCTCGGGGACTGGTAGCCTGGCTGGCGCGGATCCAGTGCATCCTTGGAAAGTAGGATGGCGAGGCTGGGCACATTCTTAAGTACACTGAGACTGGCGCCCAGCGCGCTACGCTTCGGCCCGGGTGTGGGCCCGGGTGGAAGGCTCTGCCACACCTCGCGCACGCTCCGGTAGCGCAGCCGCGTGACCTGGTGCAGGCCAGCCAGGCGACGCTTGAGGATCTCGGCGCACGTGACGGTCTTGGTAGTGGCCCTACCGCAGCCGCTGAAGACGATGGCGCGGGTGTCCGGCCGCGCCATGCTGGCGGTGGCGAAGGCCAGTAGGTTCCGGATCTTGCTGCCCTCCTTGACCCGCATGTGCACGGCGCCCGGTGCCAGGTCGGCAAAGGGGCCAGGGCCGCCCCCTTCGGTCCCAAACCCCGCCGTCGCCTCTTCGGAGCGCACCTTACGGAAGTTCTCCATGTGCCGTCGTTGCCAGGACCGCAGGGACTCGGGCCTCGCCTCGGGGCCTCCTCAGCCCTGGGGCGGCATGGCTGCGGGTCGTACCCAGCAAGGACTGGCGAGGATAAGGGTGAGGGAGCGGCGAGGAGGCTGATGAGCAGGCTGGGCCAGCGCTATCGAGAGAAGTCTCCCACTTCTCCCCGGTGGTTACCGCTTTACTCAGGGACCTGGAGCCCAGCGCTCCGCGCCTGTACCGAGGCCCCGCCCCTTCCGCCAGGCCCCGCCCCCAACTCGGCCAGTCAGTCCGCGCCCCAGTTTCAGCTGCTGCCCAGATCCAGGCGGTGGGATCCTGCGTTACAGAGGCCACGGAGCCGCGCACTTTGTGGCGCGTAACGGCAGCGCCAAGGGGTGACTTAGTTGGCGAAGTTCCCCTATAACTGCCATCAGCCCTTCCCGGGCCAACCTTTATAAAAAGGTAGCCTAAATAAAAACTGCGTTTGTGGTGCAAATGCCGCTTCAAGCCGGGTCTCTGAGTCCCTTCTCCCCCCGCCCCCGGGAGAGATTTACAAGTGGCGTGCGGAGCCTTTTCCCCCCAATGCTCTAGGGATCACTCTACCACAACCTTGTTCCTTCTGCTCCCGAACCTGGATACTCTGGTCAAGGATGATCTGTGCCCCGTCAGCAAGTGCGGGAGGAGCTGGCTCCGGCCCCTCTCCGCGCCTGCCCCTCCACCGCGACGTGGAGGCGTGGTTCTCGAAGGGCAGCCCGAGACTGAGGTCTTATCCCGCCGCGCCCGACCGGGCTGGAGATCACCGGACCTTCGGACACCCCTGGGGAGTGTGGGGAGTGACACCTTGGGCCAGGCTGTTCCCCGGGATGAATGGGAAAAGAAACAGGAGCTCCCTTCTCAAGGGGAGTTAAGCTCCTTCCATCTCTGTCTAAAAGTCCACTATTAGAGCTGCACCCTTCAAAGTAAGCCAGGCATGCTTCCCTGCTGGCGTGGATCCCCTTCTTTTCAGGTGGAATTCGCTGTCAGTCAGCTTTAACACCCCGAGAACCCTGGGGTCCTTTTTTTTTCAAAAAAAAGCAAACTGGGGGAAGGCAGGTTTTAAGAGAAGAAAAGGAGGAAGGTGATAAGTTGAAGCGTTGGTGGTATTAAGAGGCTACTGGGTACTTCTCTCCGGGAACTGCTGCGTGGGACCGAGGGTGGTCCCGATCTCCTGCCAGAAGAGATGAACAGTGAAGACAGAGGCGAGATTAGTGTTGAAGGACGGCTGAAGAAAGGGAGGTGGTTGGAGAAGGACTTGAACCCACCCTAGAACTGCTCCAGCACCGCATCCTTCATTTATCCACCCCGCCCTTCACGCACTTAGACCTAAGAGTGGGGCAGACCTTATTCGGGTGGGGGCGGGCGGGCGACAACAGTGAGAGTCCCGGCCGTATGACAGTGCCTGCGGGAGCTGGGCCCCAGTCTTGAGAGGGGCTGCCGGAGTCCTCCTCTCCCTTCTCAAGAATGCGCTTACCTCCTCGGCACCCTGTAACTCTTAGCTCTCGGTCCCTGCAGTCCAGAACCCGGGGCTGACGCCATTACCACCCCTTGGAAGTGGCTGTTGCTGGTGGACCGTTGCCACCAAAACATTTTGAGTTACTGACCTCAACCCGGATCTCCTGCTTGCTCGCTGGGATGAGGGACCCTCCGGTCGCGTTCCTCTGGGAACCTGGACTTCGCTCCCACGCCAGCTCCCGTGGGCCCCACGAGGAACAGCTACAGGAGCAGCTAGAGACTCAGCGGTCTTGAGAAGACACAAAAGCTGTTTGCAGCGCGTGGCGCGGTGTGGGGAACCCCAGGCTCTTTAAGGTCTGGGTAGTTGTGGGACTTAAAGGGCGGCAGTTTCGGCTAGACCTGAGAAAAAGCCCGAGTGCGGCACGAAGCTACGTGGGAAGGGGCTGATTAGGTAAGAATAGAGCTCCCCATCTCCGGGGTGCAGGCAGGGGGCTGCAGTTTGGAGGAAGGGGTCTGGGAGGTACGGGTTTTGCGTACGGCGAAGATGGCCTGCCCGGGCTGGTCCTTTAAGACATGGTGCCCCCCACCCCCCAACCCTGCCCCTGCAGCCAGCTGTACACACTTCGATTCTCTTCGCTCGAGAGCCGGTGCAGGGATAGCGCGGAAATGCCCTCATCCCCTCCTCTCCTCCCCCGATACCCCCGCTTCTCGGCTCGCCTAGTAGCACTTAAAATGTAAATGTACACGGTGATTAGCTGCTAGGTCGCTAATTACCACTGCGGCCACTCATTACCCTGTCTGCACACGTCGTAGCCCTCGGGTTGTGAGCTCCCGCCCCGCTTCAAAGTCGCAGGGCTGGGGGGTGGGGGCGGAGGCGCACGGCGGAGGCGCGTGGCGGAGGGGCGCGGAGGGGCGCGGAGGGGCGCGGAGGGATCCGAGGGTTGGGGGATTGTGGGTGTAACGAGGCCCCGGGAGGCCGCGGGGGCGGGGCCCGTGGTGATTAGGCGGGAGAGGCGAGGAGAGGGGCGCTGGGTGGACGTTCAGTGCTGGGGGCGAGGTAGAGGTAGCGGAGGGGCGGGCCGACGGGCCGACGTGAGGGAGGGGACACGGCTGAGGACCGGGCGAAGGCAGACCGATACTCCGGAGAAGGGACGGTCGCTGTTGGGAGGTGAGTGGAGCCTGCACTCGGGGAAGGCGGGTCAATAAATTCGAGCATCTGTGGCGCATACCGCGGGACGGTTAGAAACGAGGGAACGATCGTCAAGACTTTCTGTTAAAAAAGTCAGGTAGTTTTGAAGGGGGGCGGGTCTGTTTTGATGTGTGCTGGTTTAGAAATGTAAATATATTTTTTAAACATCTGCAAGAAAACAGCACACTGCATCTGTTACCTCCGAGGCCGCAACCAGTTTCTGTGGGCCTGTTTAAGGAAATAACTACTAAATATGAATACTAAATTCTGCACAGCCAAATCTATTAATGTTCTTTCATTTGTGCCATAACTTAAAGAGATTTGATACTCTTCACCTCCCCGCCCCCACCGAATTAAGCGCAGAGCCTTGGAACTGCATGTGTCAGTGAGGTACTGACCTTGAAGCTTGAGCTTCATTAGCTTATTTTGTCTCTGTGTGACCTTGAGCATTGTTTAACCCCGTCGCCTTGGTATTTTCTCAGCTGTAAAATGAGACTAACATAGGAACCTGCCTCAAAAAGTGGTTGTGAGGGACATAACAGTATTAGAAACTTGGCTGGTATGTTCTCAGGAAATGTTGGCTATATTGTTTGTGATTAACTTTAAAAAATTTTAAAAGAGATGAGGGGAAAGAAAGCTGGTGATAAGGAAAGGAAATGGGCAGAGCCTTGGACATGGCAGTTTTCCTAATATTTTAGGAACTAGTGAGCGGCAAATTACAATTCTTTCCCTCTAAGGGGAGGTGGCAGGGTGGCCAGGCTGGAGCACAAGCCTGGCTAACAAGGCCCCAGTTCCTGCTCTGCATTGGCCAAGCTTGTATACCTTTCCAGTGGTACATCTGCCTCTCATAGACAAGTCCCCTCCCACCCCAAGACTAGGAGAAAATTCCTGGCAGAGGGCAGGTCTCTTCCTATGTCTACATTGGTGAGAAGAGGATTGTTCTTATATATGCAGATCCAGGGAAAAACCTGGAGACCGAATATCTACTTCCCTAAGTGGAGGGCAGGGAAAAGACTAAAGAAAAAGTCAGGCCACTCCAGGGTGGTAATTAATGGAGTTTATTAAGGGAAACTTACATACAAGGCATGTTTTGGGCAGCCTTAAGAAATGGATCCCTGAGCATCTTGGCAGGGTAACAGGAGGGGGGTGGGGAGAGTCGCAGGTATTATTATTATGTGAGTGCTACCAGGTCAGGACAACAACCTGTTCCAGGAAGCAGCACATAACAGAGGCAAGGGAGGGGCACTATTTTATGTCAGAACGAACATCAATTACCATCATCAGTTTCTAAGGGGCTTTGTAGAAAGTAACCTCCATTCTGGCCCTGGTCCAGCTTGCAAGATAGAAAGCAGTTGCATCACGGAACAGTCTCTCCTCCACAGGAATGAGGAGCTTCCAAAGTTCCAACCTCTCCCAGTAGACACTTATGAGCGGGCAAAGGAGTCGGGTAATGGAATGTTGGAGGGGCCAGAGGGTGCTCAGATTGCAAACACCAAGTGCCCTGAATTGGACCAGGCAGCCTCACAGATTTATTTCCTGATTAATATTCACAATGTTTCTTTCCATTGTTGTTTAACAAATGTGGAAACTGAGGCACAGAGAGGTTAAGTAACCTGCCACAGCCAGAAAGGAGCAACTACAGATAATTTGAATGAAGGTCTTCTGACTCATTTTACTACCTCACCTGATCTGAACTGCCCAGTAAAGGGGATAGAAAGGGGGTCCTACATTGCGGAAGGTGTATTGGTTATTCACAGCTGCATAAAAAATTACTCCAGAGGGTATAGGGGGGAATAAATGGTTAATGGAAAAATATACAATAAAAATTTTAAAAATGAAAAAGGAAATTACCCACAAGCTCAGCAGCTTATAACAAAAACATTTATGACGTTAGTTTCTGAGGGCTAGGAATCCAAGAGCAGCTGATAGGGTTCTAGGTCAGGGCCTTTTTTGAGGCTGCTGTGAAGGTATTGGGATCTACTGGGAGTTCACTCACAAGCTTACTCACACGTTGGCCAGAGGCCTGGGTTCCTTTCCACATAAATTTATCCATAGATCTGCTCTTGACATAACAGTTGGATTCTCCCAGGGGTGGGAGAACAGGAAAATGAACAAGCAGAAACTCACAGTGCCTTTTAGAGCCACCTCTTAAGGGGAATTTGATTCTATTTCTGAAGTGTCAAAGGATTCGCAGACATTTACAAATCACAAAAGGCCCTGGCTGGTGTAGCTCAGCAGATTGAGCGAGGGCCTGTGACCCAAAGGGTATCCTGTCAGAGTCCCAGTCAGGGCACATGCCTGGGTTGCTGACCAGGTCCCCAGTAGGGGGCACACGAGAGGAAACCACACATTCATGTATCTCTCCCTCTCTTCCTTTCTCTCTAAAAATAAAATAAAATAAAACTAAATTAAAATAATAAAAATCTTTAAACATCACAACAGGAGGTGAGTGTTTGGGAGGCAAATTTTGGAGGAGAGGAAATCAGGAATCAACATGTTGAAGCAAATATGTGGGAGGACCTTGAATCAGAAGAGCTAGATTTATTTCCTGGCATACAGCAAGCACTTAATAAGTGTTTATTAAATGGATGCATGAGTGACAACTTCTCTGAGGTTGTTTTCAAGTCTTTGGTTATGGCCTTAAGAGAAGTCACCACTTTACAAGGCTCTCCTGACAGTTGAGTGGGATTATGGCTATTGGGGCTCTCTGTAAGTTTAACACTGTTAAACATGATATCTGGAGGTAAACATGGCCTGGGAAAGAGAGCTGCCATTTAGGAGTCCCTGCCCAGGCCAGGTACCTCTTCTCCTAGACTGAGTCCCAGGCCCTGGGGCAGTGCTCTGATTCCAGCTATTTCTCTCTCCACCCCGGTCCAGACTCCTCACCGTATCTCAACCAGTTTTTGCTTTCCCCTTGGGCCAGCCAGGACAGGACCTAGGAGTCCCAACACCAGCCAGACCTCTGCCTTTGGGCCTTTCCTATGCTGGCTCTGGCCTCACAGTTGGTTGAGGAATAGGGGACCCAGACCCAGTGAGTGGTGCCATTTGGGGACAAGAGCCATTGACCTTGCATGAACTTCAATGCTTTTCTAGCAGTCAGGCCAAGTCATCTGAGTCCTGGGAGAGAGGAGGACAGGAGACATGCGGGGCCTAGAATGAGTGAGAAAAAGGATCTGTAGGAGGGGGAGGAGCTGCAAAAGAAGCCATTGGGGCAGAAGCCATTGCCCCTTTCACACTCCACAGTGCAGAAGCCAGTGTAGTTAAAAGTCACTCACCTGGGAAAAGTAGTTCCCAGTAGACAGTGCTTGTCCCCAAAAGTCTTGCTAAGAGCCTGCTGTGATGCTTGAAATTCTCCTCTGTTACTGCTCCACCTTTGGATAAGCTTTGACCTCTGAAGACAAGATTATACTTCTAATTCCAAGGTGAGAATTGACCAAAAGCAAAAGAATCGGACTGTTTTGAGAACCTTGGGGTGAGAATGAGACAGGAAAGTTAGAACAGGGAGCAAGGCCTCTAGCTCCACCCCTCCCCTTGTCCATCTTGGCTGAAACATGGCTAATGTGACCTTCACTGCTCATCTGTTCCCAGCTTCCTGTTTCCAATTTCCTATTATTAAAAGAACAACGACAACCCCAAAATAAGATAAAATAACAGATCGCTATCTGGAGAGGAGGGACTAGGACAAGCCATGTCAACAGTCACCCCACCAGCATCAGAAACCCAGTAGCCGAGGACCACCTTATCCCCACCCCCTTGCCCACGTTTAATAAAAACCTTCCACCCAGACCCTGTCAACACATCTCATTCTCTGAGGTTGCCTGCTATCACTTCTTGAGTGCATACTGTTGCTTTAATAAATTTATTGTGCTTTGCTAAATCTTTCTCTCATGCTTTCTCAAATTCCTTCTTGGGCTGTGACAAGACACTGGATTGGGTTGAGGCCTCCCTTGGCTTCCTTGGGTGCCACATGGTATCATGAAGGGGTTTTGGAGCTGATAAAGCGAGGGAATAGTTACCAGTTATAGTTGACATTTACTTAAGACTTACTGTGTGCTAGAAACAGTACATGTAAGTTCTATTATGTACTTACATGTACTAACTCATTTAATACAACAAGCACTATCATACGGATTTCATAAGTGAGGTAGAGCCAGATCCAAGGTCAGACAGTCTGGCTCCAGAGTCTGTTTTTAATCATGGCACTGGACCTCCTGCAGGAGGAAAGGGAAGCCGGGCAGAAAGCCATCAGCTACAGGCCTCCGCAGTTCCCCATAATGAAGGTCCTGGTACTCCGTAGTACACTTCTGCTCTGCCAGCTGCTTGCTGGGCGTGGGGGCACCAGGGCTGCTCTTCCTCTTCCAGCTCTGATCTGGGGCAGACCTTGAGTGCTTAATTTATGCCTTCCTAGAATTATAACTATTTTTCAGGGATGCACTGAGTTTTCCTACAACATACAAAATACTTGCTCATCTAACATCCAGAAGCAACTGGTGGGTGGTGAAGAGTATGGACTCTAGAGCCCAACCGCTTGCTTTTGAATCCCGGCTCACCTCCTGAGCAGTGAAACTTGTAGGCAAACCTGGAGGTGGGGTACAAAAAAATAGAGAGGTGGAGCAGGATATCAGACCCCCGAGGGACAACCAGAGCTGTTTGTTGACTGGCAGGAATGCAGACCTGGTGGTTTTATTTTGCTTGTGTGTGATTTAGCATTTTCTGCTTCATTTCAATAGGGAGTGGCTGCATCAGCTTTTCTGAGTGTTGTATATATAGAGCCTTTCTCCCATCACTTCCTGTCAGAGTCAGGCTTATGATAAGCAATGTGATTGTGTTGCTATAGAGGCTTCTAGGATCTGGAGTACTGGGAAGAAGCCAAGAAATAGTTCCTTCTTCTGTGGGGTACCTCTTTTCCTTTCCAGGGTAAAAAATAGCTTTTATCATATAATATCCCTGTCACCCTCATCCCCCAGACTGCCAGTCCAGAATAGAGTCCCCAGATCAAGCTAGGTGAATTGGGGTTCCTCCAGGTTCAAGGAGATATGTGGTCAAATCCCCTGTGTGGCCAGGAGGGTTCCCTGTCACCACCATGTAATTAATTATGTCTTCCCTTCTTTTCAGCAAAAGATGAAGTTAACCAAGTGTGCCTGCCATCTATTGTTCTGAAGCAAATCACAAGATGCCCTGTTCATACTGTGACAGAAGACAAAATTTAGACATTTCAGGAAGGGAAAAGAACTTTTTTCATTTGCAAGATTCCTGGGAGAACTCTCTCTCTGACCAGAAATTATACATACTTGCTGATTAATGTCCTGCCCAGTGAATCTGCCTTGGGAAAGAGTTGTGATTGGTTGTTACCAGCTTCCATCATTTCTGCCCCCTCTCTGGGAAAAATCATGGGAAAAGATGGACATCCCCCCCTCTCTGAAGCAGTCATCTTGTTGTACCCGTAGATCTTCACTGTGGGTTGGGGCACATCCTTCATTGCCCTGGAGTCCAAGTGCTTAAAATAAAAAAATTCTTGGTTTTGTGTGACAGCTTTATGTCTTTAAATATTGTCAACTGTTACAGTTGCTTACTACTGGGTAACAGGTCACCTTAAAACCTAGTGGTTAATAATAACAAGGATTTAATATTTCTAATGCCTCTGTAGTTTGACTGGACTCTGCCGGGCAGTTTTGCTTAACGTGGTGTCAGCTGGGGTCACTCATGGGTCTGCATTCGGCTTGGAGTCTGATTGGTGCTGGACCACTCAAGACAGGCTTCACCCACCTGTCTGTTGCTTCAGCTGTGCTGGTTGGAATGACCGGAGTATCTTCCTGTGGTCTTTCTGCATGTGGTCTCTAGTCCAAGCTTACTTCTTAAGGGGCTTGATCCCAAAAAGAGGAAAATGGCTGCAAAGCCTGATAAGGCCTAGGCCTGGACTCACACATTATTACTACTTCTGCATTCTATTGGTCAAAGTAAGATACATGTCCAGTCCAGATTCAAGGTGTAGGGAAATAAATTCCATCTCTTGGTGGAAGGCCTGACCGGCATATACAAGCCTGGGAGCCTGTACAGAGATGGCAGCCATTTCTATGGACTGTCTACCACATCATCTATCTCATACTTCAGAACACACATCTCTGCAGGTCAGTGTGGCTCAGGCTTGCAACTTCTACTTGAAACTTAAGAAATTTACCTGAAAATCCTTTGTGACCAGGGGATTTTTATGGCAGAAGAAAGGGGTGGGGATAGCAGGGATGGAAAGTCCTACCCCTGGACTCTCTTTGGTGTTTATGTGGCCTCTGTTCATTGGAGGAGAGGAATGTCAGGAACTAGACACTGCCCACGCTTGACTATTATTATTTCCTTCTGATTAACCTACTCTGGACCTGCTTCCAGACTCCATCACCTGAACCCCAAAGCTGCCCACTCATAACCTGGAGGGAAGAAGGCCAAGCGACTGCTGAAATCCTTTTTAGTACCGTAGTGGATTCACCGGCTTTGACTTTAGCCTGAGAAATCATTGCAGGATTTTAATCAGGCCTAACTTGATTAGATTAGTTCTGTGGAAATCTCACATAGGATGCTAAGAGGCATCAACTGATGCATTACAAATCATCCAAAATTTAGTTGTGTAAAGCAATAGTTTATTATTCACACAGATATAATAGGCCAGGAGTTTAGGCAGGGCACAGCAAGGATTGCTTCTCTCTTTTCCACAATGTCTGAGGTGTCAGCTGGAAGACTCAAAGGTTGGGAACTGGAATAATCTGGAAATTTGTTCACTTGCACGTCTATTGGTTCCTGCTGGTTGTCAGCTGAAAACCTCAGATGGCCACGTGAGACTCTCCCTGCGGTCTTTCTGAGTGAATTGATTTGGGCGTCTTCACGGCACGGTGGTGGATTCCAGGCTGAGCATCCAATGACAGAGAGAACCAGGTATAAACCATATTGTGTTTTATGACCTAACCTTGGATGTCGCACACAGTGTCATTTATGTCACATTCTCTTTATTAAGGAAGTCACTAAGCCCTTCCCAAGTTCAAGGAGAAAGGAAGCAGACTCATTTCTTGATGGGGAATGGCAAGACTCTGAGAGGGAGTGTTGGACTGGACCTTGCCGCGGCCATTTTTTGGAGAATATGATCTGTGGCCTCTAAGAGGGGCATGAATTCAGTGAAACCATCAGTATCCTTCAAAGTGCACTCAGCATCCTGAGCATGCCCTCTCCTCTGACCTTAATCGCTCATCAATCTTCCCCCAACTCATCCATTCAGGCCTCAGCAGTCCCTTTGCTTTTCCTCAAATATGATGAACACACTTCTGTCTCAGGGCCATCTCACTTGCTGTTCCTGCTTCCTGGAATGCTTGTCTCTCTGATATTCCCCTGGCTCTCTGCCCCATATTCTTCAGGCTCTGTTCAGATGTTACCTTCTCCAAGAGGTTTTCCTGACCACCCTAAAATAACAGTTCCCTTCCTTCAATCTGTGTTGTCTTCTCTGGGTTTCTTTTTCTTTTTCTTTTTAATCCTCACCTGAGGACATTTTTTCCTCGTTGCTTTTAGAGAGAGAGGGACAGGGAGAGGGAGAAACATTGATGTAAGAGAGAAGCATCGATCAGTTGCCTGCTGAAGGCACCTGGACCAGGGATTGAACACATCCAGACCAGGGGTAGAATCTGCAATCTAGGTATGTGCCTTGATTGAGATCCAAACCTGTAACCTTCTGCTATAGGATGATGTGCTAACCAACTGAGCTACACTGACCAGGGCCAACTTTTTCTTCACGGTAAATATCACCTGGAAAAACTATATATTTTTTATTACCTGTCTCCTCCCACTAGAATGAAGGCTCCTTGAGGACTTTGTTTTATTCCCAGCTGCATCTCCACCACACAGAAGGGTGTCAGATACTCAAGTAAGTGCATTAGTGTTTGTTGAGTGACTCAGTGATGGACTTCTGTAGGTGTGAAAAGTCAGTAGCCCACCCCCAGGACATGATCTAGAAGAGTGGTCCTTAAAGCATGATCCAGAGATCTTTGGAGGTCTGTGTCACTGGGGAGACCTAAGTTAAGACCCCCTCCCCTCAGTTCCTGTCTCATTTGCAAGAGATGAATTCAGGCGAAAGATAACCCATGTAGTGGAAATGAGATAGCAAGTTTATTTATGAAATACACTTGAGCACAAAGCTGCAAGTGGGTGCTGCCAGCTAGTCTGAGTGCGCCGCCTACTGGGATTTTAGGGGTTTTATGCTTGTAGCCAGTCTCCAGTTTCCCCTTCCTCCCTTCTCCATACCTTGGTATTAACATACAGTTTCAAAGGCTTCCTTTCCCAGATAGTAGACATGATACACACAGAATTCCAAAGGCTCCCCTCCTCCCGCACTCTCATGGTTTCTCTTGTGATTTCCAGAACACCTGGCAATCTTATCTGACCGGGCTCAGGGTTGCAGAATTAATGGGTGGGACATACCTCCCTCCTTCTCCCTGCCTTGGTTTGCCATCTATTCTGTAGTATCCTTTCTTGGAGAGGGGGTGTCCACAAGGTAAAAACTATTTTTATAGCAATACTAAGACATTATTTGCCATTTTCATTCTTATTCTGTCTTGAATGTACAGTGGAATCTTCCAAAGGTTGCATGACATGTGATATTGCAGGAGATTAAATGCAGAAGCAGATAAATGACTCTGGCTGTCTTCTGTTAAGCCAGACATTAAAAAGATCCTCAAAATTGTAAAATAATGCCATGCTTCTCACTACTTTTGTGTGTGTGTTTGTTTTGGGAAATATCATTATTTAAAAATTTTTAATGTTAACATGTAAAGAGTTTATTTTTGCTGTTTTATTTATTTATTTTTAAGACTTATTTATTTATTTTAGAGAGGAGAAGGGAGGGAGAAAGAGGGAGAGAAACATCGATGTGTGGTTGTCTCTCACCTGCCCTTTACTGGGGACCTGGTCTGCAACCCAGGCATGTGCCCTGACTGGGAATCAAACCAGTGACCCTTTGGCAAATCAATCCACTGAGCCACACCAGCTAGGGCTATTATACTTATTTTTCAATCCCACCTGAGAATACTATGTTTATTGATTTTAGGGAGAGAGAAATAGAAACACCTACGTGAGAGAGAAACATTGACCAGTTGCTCCCTGTATGCACCCTGACATGGTATCAAATCCGCAACCTAGGGATGTGCCCTGGCTGGGGATTGAACCTGCAGCATTTTGGTGTATAGGACAATGCTCCAACCAACTGAGCTATTACTGCTATTTTAAATGAATCAGTAGATGAATATTTTAAAATTTTCCCAGTTTTAATTTATAATAGAGTAGATATTAGTAAATAGCTCACATTTTAAAAGTTAAATGGGGTTACTGATCATTTCTAAGACTGTAAAGTGTTTCTGAGACTAAAATGTTTGAGAGGATAGAAAGTAGAGGCTAAAGCCCTGGCTGGTGTAGGTCAGTGGATTGAGCATGGGCCTGCGAACCACATGATTGCGGTTCGATTCCCAGTCAGGGCACATGCCTGGGTTGCAGGTCAGTTCCCAGCAGGGGACTCATGAGAGGCAACCATACATTGATATTTCTCTCCTCTCCTTCCCTTCCTCTCTAAAGATAAATAAATAAAATCTTTAAAAAAAACACAAACAAACAAAAAAGAAAGTGGAGGCTAAGTGTTCTATGTGTTATGGAATTGGGGGCTTTGGAGCTTAGCACAGCAGTTCCAGAGAGAGATGAAGGTTGGAAGAAGGTCAGATGAAGGTTGGAAGAAGGTCAGATGAAGGTTAGAAGAAGGCTGAGGGACCTGGAGCCAGGCAAGAGCTGGAATGCGCACAGGAGCCCAGCACCACAGTGGCCCGTGCACCCTTGGAGGGACAAGGCCAGGGCAACAATCTCTGATTTCAGGGATAACCAAAATTCTTTTAGGGACAGTCATGTATATACTTATTGTTTTAATGGGTCCAAAATATTTAGTTTGTTTAGAGAAATTTGCATAACAGTGTTTTTATTTTCATGGTAAGTTGCATACACTAACTAAAAAATAAAGCAACCAGATCCTTGAAATCAAAAGTGGAAGACACAATACTGGCACAAATTAGCTTCAGTTTCTAAAATGAAAAGTCAAGCAGGGAAAGTCATTTTTCTTATTAAATAATGAGTAGCCACAAAATTACCAATTCATGAAAGCAAGGTTGATTTACAGCAAACTAGCTCCCAAGAGACTGATGAATAAACTAGACACAGACTTCCAAAGGGCCTGGTAGTCACCTCTGAGCGACACCCTTGCAGAGGTCCCTGGGAGGCCAAGTAGTGATCAGAATTATGATTGGTGGGTATTGAGTCATTACGGACGTTAGTTACAGGATTTACCTTTCCAGTAAATACCTCTTCTGCTCACATTAGCCAAGGTTGGCTTTTTCACACTTACAACCAAGAGCCCTTGGCTAGTTAAGGAATCTTCAGCACATTGGACACTTACCGCCTTGGGAGCAGCTGAGACCATCCAAGGATGGGAGTTACAACAATAGCTTGAACGGGCTATGGGCAG